GAAAGAACACGGGAATCGTGTTTCCGCGAGGTACTTCCCTCGGTTTCTCTTACCCTTGTGCAAATTCGCTTTATCGTCGCGACCGCCTTAGAAAGCCTCGCGCCCCTTCGCACCGATGCGGGAAGACTTCGTATGTACACTTATTTCACGCTCGGTGGAACGACAGGACTCGAAGGGAACATCCTTCTCTCTTCACAAGGCAAAATCGAAGAAAGCCGAAGTGGAATGTCTTTCGGTGCGCGAACCGTGGTAAATTTCAGCGGTAATATATTTTCGAAAATGGATAACAAAGAGACTTTAAAATCTGAAAATGGAGATTTTAAAATCTGAGATATTATTTAAAGGTAACTCTGAAACCATTTACATCGATGTAAACGTACGTTGGTATTGTAATAAAGATAGAGAGAACGCCGTTAAGTAACTCCACATAAAAGCATCGCATTTTAAAAATCCGTTTTATTACTTTGCTAAGCTTTTTCTCAACGTAAGATCACATTTATTTAATTAGTGAACTCGAGACTGTAATTGTATACTTTTTACTAGGTTTACAGAGAATTATTAAATATTATAATTAAAATACATTCCTTTTTAAATGAATATACCTATCATTGTAGATATCCTACAATTTCTTAGTCAGGATATCTGCGATGATATATTCATTTAAAGGGAATGTATTTTGAATTAGAATGAATTAAGAAACGGTAGCATAAAAATTTCATTAAATTCAGCTCGCATTCTTACGTTGTGCACATTAATTCTTGACTCGGTGGCGAGTCTTTTATCTATCAGCAACATTTCACGAGTCTACTAAAATCAAATCAAGATACTTTACGCCGCGCGTTTATCTCGTGCATGTGGAATGACATCAAAAAGCCCAAAGACGCAAGTGCTCGGTGACAGAAGATGCATTTCGTCGTATAAAAGGCCACAGCTCAAGAGACGCTCTGTCTCGTCGCTGCACGTTTTCTCTTTTTTCACTAATGAATTCTTCACTCGAACGAGTAATTGGTATCTCGCATTATCCTCAATCAACGCGACTGTCCTCGCGCAGAGCGCTCACGGACGAGGCGAGGGAGGCTACACGGGCATCGGTGAAAGCAGAGCTGAAACCGCAGCGAGGTCGGGTGGGAGATGCCGGGAAACGGTAGCGAAAAGTGCATCAGCATGGGGGCTTTGCTGATTTACGAGGAGTCGTTGCTAGGAGAGCATTAATATCCGTGACGGAATATTAAACCGCGAGCGTCAATGGGTAGATCTTCAAAGGGATTTTCAGGGTGTCAGGGAGGGAAGGAGAGAGAGAGAGAGAGAGAGAGAGAGAGAGAGAGAGAGAGAGAGAGAGAGCCGCATCCCCGCAAGATTATGAGATTCTCGTTAAGTGTCACGTGTAAAGAGTTCTTTCATACGCGGCCGAGCCAACCCCTGGATAGCGTTGCTCGTGAAATACCGTCAGATAAAGGTGACATGAAAATTTATCGAACGCGCGCGGGGGTTTTCAGAGATTCGCTTTAAACTCCTCTGCCCCAATCCTCGGCTCTGATGTCCTGTGTACGATAGAACGTAAGCTGGCTTACTTCGCCAACGGTTTTACCGCGGTGAGCGAAAGAACAGAAAATTGCGCGGATGGATGCGGACGCGGAGGCTAAATTTGAAAAAGTACTCGTTTCACTGTGAAATTTTTATCACGTTTCTGTAATAGAATTTTCGCTAGACTTTGCACACGATGACGCATTTATGCAAAAGCGACCGATCTCTCATTTTGTCGGGCGTATCTCAGTTTTGCCTCGCGCGATCTTCGCGTCGAGTCTTATTTAACCGCGCATCGCGGTCGCGAATGTCGCTTGCTTTTGACTAAGTTTTCTATATCGAGTAAGAAATGTTTAATGGAACGTGACTGCACTGTCACGCAGAAATTTTCTCTTCACGCGAAACAAGAATCAGTGACTTTAACTCAAGCGGCGAAACATTCGGTACGAGCAGAGAGCGTTTGGGGAAAGACGGTTAATGAGATAAGAGAAGCGAACGGACGGGATCGGTTTCGGTAATAACGAGGGAGCATTTTTATAACGAGGATCGGCGTCGACCGCCTTCTCCTGGGGGACAGAAGCGAGACGTTCCTCGCTCGCGTTCGCCGCCGCTCGCCCGCGCCTCGTGTACCCTGCCTCGCGTTCGGTCCCCTCGGCGCCGCGCCGGTCGGGGAGAGGGAGGGGGGAGGGGGGAGAGGGGACAGGGGCGGACTTAATTATCTAATTAATTAACCTCAATCAGAACGATGAGTAATTTCTCGCTCGGGTGGCGCCTTTGCCGCCGAGACTTTCTCGTCGCGTTGACTGCGGGGAGCGAATTACGGATGAGCTCACGGCAAATCGATTATGTCCCGATGCTGTCGCCCCGAAACGGCGTGTCTCCGCCGTAGTAGTTCGCACACAAGAGAGGGTATAAGCTCCTCCTGCCAGGATCCACGATCCTCCGGCGATATCCTGCTCTAGGTGGCCGACCAATTTTCCTCCCCCTCGTCTGCCCCCCCCCCGTCTCCGCCTTTATCTTTGGCGCTTACGCCGCGCCGATCGCATGATAACTCGCTCGTGAAGGGCGATCGTGCTGGTCGTTCGTCCTTCGTGCGGAGTTCAGCGCGGAGAAGCTTGGGTCGATTTGGGAGATTTTGGGTAAAGAAGATAAATGAATATTTTTGCGAATCGCGGCTGACCTTCGCTATCATTATATTCCCATATAGAGTTAAAAAAGGATATAAGTATTATATCGAATTAAAACCGGTATCACTCATGAATAATAGCAATATGGAAAATTAACGCGAGTTTTGCACGGAAAGAATAATTTTGCTGGATCCAAATCTGAAAATAATTTTTGTTCAATAATCAAAATAATTGTTAGAATATCAAAACGTTTTATAGCAATGCTTATAATTTTTTACATTCCAACAAAATTTTTTGATGATTCAACAAGAATTAATTTTCAGGTCTGTATTCAGCAAAATTTTCAACAAAATCGTTCTTTCCGTGTGGAAATAATTAATTATTTAACATTACAGAATCAAATGTCGCAAATTTCACAATAGGTATTTATTTAACCATTTAAATTCCCAAACAAACTGATTTCCCCTCTCGCAAAATAATAACGACCCTTTCGCGGCTCTCAATTTCTATTCTGGATCTATCTCAGGTCGCTTCTCAATCCCTCTTTCTTTTCTCTTCGACAAAAGCACCCCCGAAGCTACCATCCAGCTGCACCCTGCGCGGCCCAGCACCGCCCCCGATGTGTAACTGACGTTTTTGACGCGTCAAGTGGTTCCATCGCGCTACTACCTCGAGGGTCGGCGCGTTTATCGGCTACTGTTTTACATAAACATCCCCGGGAGGGTGACGGATCGGTATGAGAGCGAACCTGCGGACGTCGCGCACTTGCGCGCAAACGCATCGCGACAGATTCCTCTAAGTGATCTCAAGTGTTTTCGCAGTTGATTTCGGCGTACTCTCACGCGCGTCGTACTGACGTTGACTATACCAATCCCGGCGTCCGCTCTCGAAGCTTTTTAAGCTCCGTTTAACCCTGGCCTCGGGGTCCATATAACTTCGGTATTTAGTTAGTCAACCCTGCCCGCGAGGCGTCATGGGAAACGACAAGTGCGGCCCAGTCTCGCCCCAGCTCGAGCGATGCTCGAGCGTATCACCGGCTGTGTACATATTCGGGCGTATACGTCACGCTGGCGCGCGTGTGTGCGGTTTGTCGCTGCATGCCGGGCGGCCTGTATGCCTTTCATGTGATAATCCTTGTGTATTTAATCGGAGGACGTCGATGGAGCTGGCTCGGTGCTTGACGCAAAAAGTAAACGATCCCTCGTGGATTAGTTCATAATTTGCTTTGAGCGCGGAGGGCAGGATGGAGGAGGGAGGAACACACTCGAACGTGGCGGACGCGACTTTCGACGAGTGTTTATTTAACAGTTTAGATTTTTTTTTTCCCCTCGACTTTGATTTCCGCCGCTTTGCGATTACGTTACGAGTTAGTTACTCGCGGTGTCTCTGTTTAAGTTTCCGCCGAACGTTATACTTTTTAGTTGTCGATCACCGGCCGGCCGGTGACGAAAGTGCCTGCATAGCGTTAAAGTTGGATTTAATACCTGCGCTATTATCTCGCGGTCTCCCTTGCCGAGTTGTAGCCGCGGAATAGCGCGTTTTAATGATGACGACGGGAGCGCGGTGCTGACGTCTGAAATTTCGGTTCGTAAAATTATAAAGCTCGTCGTTCGCAGGCGGGACCGCTCGCGTAATAATTAAAACCCTCGTAAATCGGGATTATGAGTTGCGCTGTATAAAAATGGGAAAGATTATAGATTGCATTTCAAGCTGTTATACGCATTTAAGTATGATACGCGTTGGGGACGAGTTCGAGAGAATGCAACACTTACAATAATAGCGGATTATGACAATGATAAGAGGATAATTATGACCCCGTGTGCGCTCTCCGCGCCGTCGCGCTTCCTATCACTTATCGAAATTACGCTCTCTCTTATCGCGGGAATTATATTCGTACCACTCGTGTCGCAACCTCTGCAATCGATAAACGGCCGGCCGTATGAAGTCACCTGCTTCAACACGCGCTTTCGCGCCTTAATTATGTTCATATGAAGGAGATTACATTATCGCGATCCCGCGAGGTGTTATTATACGAGTCCGCGCGGGGGAGATAATATTCCGATAAGGAAGCTTTTCAGAAGCTATACGATACCAATGCATAAAATATCGCAATTTGAGAGCCCTTAAACGCAAAGTGTTAAATCATTCAGGATTTAAACCAGGAGCGTTTTAGAATGGAAACTTGATTAGCATAATTTTTTGATAAATTGAAAATTTACGCGATTCTTATTAAAATGTGCTTGTCTCATGTCAATATATTCATTAACAGAGTTTTTGATTATAAACATAGTTTTGTTTCACGAAGTTCGGCACGGTTTTCTCGCGACATTCCGCTATTCACGATATATATAACTCGAATGGCGCAAGAAATGAGACACGTTCACACGATGCTGTCAAATCGTCCGGAAATTCTCGTTTCACGTCTTATCGCTCGATCTCCACGCTTGTTGGTGTGCTCGAGTTTCTCTGATTTTTGTAACTCTTTACTTTGCTAATGGATTGCGCTCTCGAGAATGTTCTCGCAGAGACCATGTTATTTCTCTCAACTATCGAGATCCCATCCGATTTTGAAGCTCGTTGACATTTACGACCGCCAGGTAACCCTCTTAAATCATCGTGAAAGCCAAATGATTTTGTCATGGCAGTGGCTTCTGACATTTTTTTTTTAACACTATTCATATTCGCAGTCGTTTATACGAGCATATGTTTTGGATAACTTTTACGTCTGCATTCTGATGTACATTTTGTTCTACGTAACGCTATGGTATGCTAATAACGTAAGTAGTCCGCATGTTTGCTTTTGTAATAAATTATAATTACAAAAGCAAGAAATAAGATACATAGTTAATCTACATATTAATTAATTACATATATTTAAAATAAATATGACATAAAATTATAACATGTATAACTAACTCAAAGTTAATTTATTTTTTTTGTATACTTATAAAAAATAACGTTATCTGATGTTTTTAACTTTTCAATTAATTTTAATATATTTCTCTGTATCGTTTTAAGATAATAAAACGAATTGAAAAATCAAATCGAGAAATGTCAACGACCGTTGCAGAGAACAAGACGGTCAGTTCCATTTTGTTTATGATATTTATATGTGCATTAATCTTTCTTTTAGTTAATAATTAATGTCGTTACATTTATGCACCTTTTTATGAAGAACTCTTTTTAGAAATTAGACAGATTGGTTTTGTTAAGAAACAAGAAAGCGGAATTCGAGAAAGTAATCGTAAAAACGGTTAGCAACGTTTCAACGGTTTCTTATTTTTTACTTTTATAGTAATATCTATATTTAATAAAGATGTTTACTCTATAGACAGATGCGCAAAAGGTGACAACAAAACATTTAGAAGATGAAGTAAGTTTAAGAGTTATGCGAATTGTCTACGCATAAACGAAGCTTAATTAACGTTTTAATGTTTCCGTAACCATCGAATTTATTATTTAGATCCACAGACTTAGCACAGAATTAATCACGACAACCAATAAAATCACCGGATTGGAAAAAGTCGTTGAAAAAGTAATGGTCGTCTTTCGACGTCTGTTCTGCAGTTAAATCATTTTTACCCCAGCTTCAGTAGTTGTTATTAAATCGTAGATGGTTTTTAGTACAAATACCCAGGCAAATTACTTAGCTCAGCCGGCGTTATCGAAGGTGAATGTCCAAAAGAATTCGAAGGAGCCACGAGCCCGTTCGAGATGTTCAAGGTGATTTACATAAATATCATCCCAAAAAGAGGAATATTAAATAAGATATTCTAAATTTCTTGCATTATGAATTAATAAATAATATTATGGGTTAAAGAACAAAATTATATAAAGGTTAATTCTAGATTAATCCCTCATCATCAATTCATTTTCCATTTTTTCAAATTTATACAAAAATATTTGTTGGTGTTTTTTTTGTCAGGATTTATTCGCGGTAATTTAATTAAAACGTAACGAGTTTTTTTGTATCACAATCGAGATATTATTAATTTATTATAAACATATATTTTTATATTAAAAATTAATTATATATTTTACATGAAAAATTAATAAAAGAAATTAATAACTGATTGTATCTAAAAAAAATATTATGAAATACGATTTTAAGATTCTCGAACCGTCATTTCCACCGTCTGTACCACCGGAACCTCCGCCTCGGAAGTACGGGATCTTTGTCAGTAGACCGCCTGGGCAGCGCAGAACGTCGTCTGCAGTTGCACCTGCAACTCCACCGCCAAAGATCGGATTCAAGTAACAGCGCTTCTGCAGAAGCATCCTCCGAATCTGTTAATCAACATCGTAAGATATCTGTTAATTATATCATAATAATACTAATCTTCAGATATGTAAATAAATGTGTGAATTTACTCGTGAAAAATTATGAAAACAGAGAAGTATGCGAAATATATATTAATTCATGAAATTCGAAATGTGTCGGCCTAGAAGTCAAGTATCTGCAATTGTAATTTTAATTCATTCTGTTTTTCGCATGTGAACTGAACATCACTCGCCTTACCATCTGTTTCCTTTATGTCGATCATTTCACGCGAGATTTTCACGTTTTATTCTTTTAGCTTAAATATTTTTCTTTTTTCTTTTAATTGCATTGTAAAGCAAAGTTTCTTGCATACCTTCAAAATGTAATTTTAAATTGAGTTTAATTTCACACAATCTCTATCTTACAGCTACCAATAAAATTCTTTCGCGATACAATTATCATGACGGCGATCGAAAAAGGCATCCTAAGTGGCTGTCCACGAAGACGCGTTTGCAACGATCTTCATGTTATAACATGCGTAAGATTCATATGGATTCCTTAAAAAATGTCACACCTTTCACGAAATCATTATTAGGATTGGCTACTATCTTTCTCCATGGACATCCGTAAATAAAATATTCGCACGACTTCAATGACTCAAAGATAAATTTCGCAATTTTTCTCGACATTTTTTATTTTTGCTTTTAAACCGTCATAAATAAAACTATGCTACGAATTATGTAATTTTTATACTTTAATATTTATTCTTATATTGTACACTACTATAAAAAAACTGTGTAAATGAAATTATAATAAATCTATAATAAATATGTAATATTAATACCCATATTTAAATTCCCTTTCTCTTTCAATTTCTAATTCAAGTTTTAGTTGAAATATTATAAACGAAAGATTTGCGTTACTGCTATTGCAACAGACTTTACACTAACGTTTCAGCTTGATATCATGGACTAATTTCAATAAAAATGTATTCGGATATATTGAATAGATATTGAGTTTAATGTTATCTTTTTAACTAGAGTTATTTACATATTGTGTTCAATAAATTTAAAATTATGCCCACACGAGCGATAAACTCGGTTATTAAAATGATAGAATAATCAATAAAGCATGTGTAATTTTTTCCTTTTTTTTTAATGTTTTTTATTTGTTCCGTGAGAATATCTTTTATTTTACACAACTTAGACTCTTATGCATAACTTGTAGTCGCTGTAATGTATGAGCTACATTTGCATTCACATTAAAAGACTTAATTTAAAAATTGCATTCTTCATAAACCTTGATCAAAATGAATATTTATGCAAACTTTACTGCGAGATATTCCGAGACATTAGATAAACAAATGTTGAACAGTTTCATGGATAAGAGCAAAAAAAAAAACGCAAAAACAACAACTCAGTTATAATACATACACGGAAAGAACAATTTTGCTGAATCCAGATCTGAAAATAATTTTTGTTCAATAATCAAAATAATTTTGTGCAAAAGTCAAAATGATTGCTAGAATATTAAAACGTTTTATAGCAATACTTATCAATTTCAACATTCCAACAAATTATTTTGATAATTCAACAAAAAATTATTTACAGATCTGTTTTTAGCAAAATTTTTAGACCAAAATCGTTCTTTCTATGTACATTTTAGTAGTCAGATCGTACACATATCATCATTATATTTTCATTTCTGTATTTTTGTTTACCGAAAAAGATACACGAATTTTAATTTATAGCTCTCTTCCTACGTTATTCAAATTAATTTCTTCTTTATGGTAAAAATACGCAATTTATGCTGAATTCAACTTGCGTCCACATAATTACAAAATTTGGAAAAAAAATTGCGATATATTGTAAAATATTTAGGTAAAAATAACTGAAAAGCTATCAAATGGCCCTTATAAATTATCTTGTCTAGTCGCTACGCTATCAGGTTTATGTCAGGTTGTACGCTTTCATTCGGAACGAAAGTATTCAATTAGTCTATGCATGTTAAGATCTGCATGCAATTGGAAAGCTCTTGCTACATACGCCAATCTTTTGATGTATCAATTCGCTCTACTTAATAATTATCCACTCATGTTATCATCTTTCTGCTCCGGTTGCCACGGTTCAATTGAGTCACCTTATTTTTCCAAGCATCGTATTTTCACACGGTATTATTCTTGAAACACAGATATCGCGAGACACGTACCATTACGCATTTGACGGGAATTCAGCGGAGGAAAAATAATTATTTTCCGCTCGTAAAATTAATAAAAAATTAACTTTCACCAGTTAAAACTAATGTAGACCTTATATTTGTTTTTTCACTCTGAATTTATATTTCCCATTAAAACAATGTTAATAAATTTTTTGTTTAAATGTCTGTAAATAGTTTTAACTCGTCTCTTCGGAAAACATTCTTTCTTTCACACGGCATCAGATGCTTTGTTTCTCATACTTGTCGTAATTTTTCCAATTTTAAAGAGCAATACGTTACGAATATATTTCCTCGCGAAATAATTATTGCCTGTACTTAAACAGCCTGTTTTCCCATGCGACCCGCCTCGTTCGAGCCGCAGAACTGCGAGCCATCGAAACGCGTGGACTTGCGAGCGATCGGCCAACTTTCACTGACGACTCGTTAGGTTCGCCGCCGTGGTTTCGAGTCATTCACAGTCATTCCGCGACTTCGACGGATCGCGGTAGCGCTGCTCGTATTTCTCTCCTCGTTGAAGACAGCGAACTGTCACTTCAAAGTGCGCGTTCAGTATAGCAATACGGTAGTGACACGGTTGCAAATTCTGTGCTTCGCTCGCAGGACGTTCTCCCGCGTTTTCGCGGAACGTTGTCGTAAGTTTGTTTGCACAGACGTCTCTCCTGGTGACGCAGTGATATTCGACGTCCAGCATTTCATCCGGATATTTTTGCACGGTGAACCCTTCGATTGTGCGTAATGGAGAGACCGAGAAATTTGTTGCAGCCACGGAACGTATACAATCGCAGAACCAGCGCGCGATACTGAGTTACGATCTGTGGATTTCGATTTGCGCGTGGATTTGATTTAGCGAAGCGAGTTGAAACGCGCGCGTGATTTTCAACGACGATTGATCGTCCTCCGCTCTCCTCGGTTAATTGCTTTCCGCGATTTCGCGCACTTCGGCGCGCGCGAGTTTAACAGGCAAATCGTATCGCGTTCGCGCGCTCGCGAGGTCGGCGCGAGTGCCTCGTCGCTGCGCGCGGGAATTATAATCGGCGACGTTACTCGCAAATGCGAGCCACTTCGGAAGTGAGTTCCGGCGTCATTCCCGCTCGACGACGGATGTTATACAGCTCGCTGAAAGAGGTCTCGCGCCGTTTGCGCCGTGTTACCCGGGACAAGGGAGAGTTAGAAACGGAGAATTCCCGTTACGATTTCGCCGGTCGTTTCCGCGACTCCCGTGCGCTGGAAGTGCATTCTCCGATACAAAGGAGTCGTCGACATCGCGCTCCGAAGCGACTGCGGCTCTCTCGTGGACGAGCTTTGTCGCTTTGGATGAAAGTAAGACGGACATCGTAAGAGGATTTAGCTTTATTGCTGCGGCGGATCTTGAAGAAAGTGGAAGTTAACGGAAAGTGAGAGTCTTCTCTTCTCTTTCGAGGCAGGAAAGAGAGAGGGAGAAAGAGAGAGAGAGAGCTGTTGACCGGTTCACGGCATCGGCCGATTGGCATCGATCACCGGTCCAGGGACAGGTATTTGTTTGGACGATCACGTATAAGTAATTGCGTACCTTTGAGAATTCAGGTTAAGGCGAACCCACCACTCTCGGAGTGAGTCGCGGTGCGCGATCGATTGCACGTTTACGTAACAATACGTGATCGTTGAAAGCGACGGAGTCATCGCCGCGAATCGACGTTTGCACGTTTACATCATTAGACACATAATTTCACAGCTGTGATGGATATCATGTTGATGTATACACTGAATGTATACTCTGATGATACATACACAACGAAGCAGCTGGAATAATCAATTGGATTTCGATGCAATCATGCCGCTTTCATTTCATACATTTTTTTACGTTATATATATATTAACGTAGAAAATAAAATAAAAGTAGACCTTTCATCTGCGAATTTACGTACAAAAATTTGTCTGTTGATTAATCAAATCTGCTCGATATTTCGTACTTTTTTTCAGACGTAATCCCCTACCTCTGTGGATCATACGTTATTTTATCAGGCTTGTATCTGATAAGATTGTTAGCGGGTTGACAACAAATTAGCGGATTATCTCTAGTCCGCCTTCGCCATAACGCTTGCCTTATTGAAAAAAAGAAACCGACATGGACACCAGTACGGTGCGCTTGGTCATATTTTTGGGCATGTTTCTGGTTTTCGCCGGCGATTACAGCGCGTTGATCGCCTCGATTTTCGGTAATGCGACGGAGAGGAACATAACGGACGCAATGAGAGAACCCGAGAAGGCTCAGCTCAAAGGGCCTCACGATAAGATACCTGTGGTCTCGAAAAAAGACGTCGATAAGAATAACGGTAAGAATGAGGCCATCGTGTAAATGATACACAATGCAGCACGTGACTCTTTTTCACGAATGCGGTGTACGGAATATTATACGGAATAGAGTACAATCTTCTTTCTACAACGTGAAATCATATTTGCTTCTTTCTACAATGTGAAATCGTATTTGCTTCGGCAGCAAAACTATATGATATCTGATCCGAGCTGTAATTTTACGTTCGGATATCCTTGCGTACAAACTGCTTCTTAGCATTTTCTCCCCTACAGTCGCTATTGCATAAAAATATATTCGCGTGCGAGAGGTCGCACGCACGTGTGTCGTCATACCATTATTCATCGAGTTACGCTTGTTAGTTGCGCGTGGAGGTAATTGCTACTCTGCGAATTGACTAATTAGCCGCGCGCTCGTCCGTTTTAATTATTTGACAACGTTATCGAGACCCCCTCCACTCGGGAACGTACGTTTCGTCTGTCTCGCGGCTTATCAAAATCTCGCTACGACCAGTTCTCGGTCGAGAAAATGTTGTTTGGAAAGTAGAGTACGGTAAAATGAGTTTTAATCCGAATGCAAAGCGTATGCGTTGTATGTTTTTAAAGATTTGTAGATTAACGCGAGTTAGTATAATTAACACGAGTGATGTGCTGTGTACGTATCCTTTAACGATAATATTTAATTAATGGTTACGATTATAATATATTTATGATATCTTGTGATTACATTTTAGTATGCGCTTCTTTATAATTATATCTTCTCTGTTTTCTATATCATTTAAATACTTTCTAACAGTAAATTAAACCACAATATTTTTTCTCAATATCAAATATATAATATAGCAAAAATAGAGTAGCTATAATGTTATAATACTAATACATTGTTATACTAATATATTTGGGCACGAATTAAGTTTCTAAAGATCGTTTGAATATCAAATATATGTATAATATAGCAAAAATAGAATAGCTATAATATTACAGTACTGATACATTTGGATACGAGTTTCTAAAGATCTGGGACGTAAAGAGAATACTTTTGTTCCTGAAAGTAAAAGTGTCCCTAGTCGTCCCCTCGTCACGTCCCAGATCTTTAGAAATTTTCGACCCTCTTGGGCTCTCGACTTGTCACTTACTTATCGCGCGATTAAACAAAGCCGCGGTCATTCATACGAATACGCGTGGTCATTCGGAATAATGTCCGCGATCCATTAATCGTCCCATCACTCAGAATGATATTGCATGTGCCACGATATAATTGACAGTATGACTCCGATTTTTGTGCAGTTGCCCTACGCCGTGCGAAGATGATGGCGACGATCAAAACCGCTTGCTTGCCGAAGCTAATATGCGAACTCACCAAGTCCGTTCACCAAGATCAGCTAAGTGAAATGGAGCGATCTCTTTTGAATCTTATAAGGTAATGCAACTACTTTTACGCCCTACATACATTTCCTTTCTTTCATCTGTATCATCGCGAAAAGAAAGTGGCTTTTATATTAAATAACAAGTAGCAAAACTTGTCACTAAATCGCATAGACGTCTGATTTTTATTTTCTTTTATTTTTTTTTTTTTTATCAAAGCACTTGGGGAAGAATCTGAAATGATCGGTGATTGGTACGCCGCTCAATTTATTTGATACAGCAAGGTAAGAATCTACTTTCATCAATGAGGCTTTTGCACTCAGTTGTTCTTACTTTCACAACTTTCGATCGGCATTGCGACTAAGCGATTCAGGGTCCGTCGACCCTGAAGCGCGAGCGCTATCTGCGATGATTATGAAAACACATGTTTCTCTCGAGTCGCGCAGATAGCGGCGAGGGGAAAACTATTGAGGAACGTGATTTTGCAAACGCGAAAATGGCTGCGTTTCTTATTCAAAACCGACGGATTGTATGTCGATGGTCGTTGATGAACAGGCACGCCGAGCGATTTCGCAATTTTCACTCGGCGAAGCTGAAAGCTAATAATGATATCACGCGTGCGTCACAATTATACAGAACGCTTCGGAAAACGGTGACGTGGGCGACCGCAGTCCGACGAGAAACGCTTACTCGCCCAGGAAAATTGGACAATTGCGCGCGGCGTGCACGCCGCGCGTATTTTGCAATTTTCGTTTACGATCGGAGGTAAAATGCAGCCAGGGTCTCCCGTCTCTCGCGCACACACGCGCCCACCGCGCGTGTTATGCGGATAATGCAAAGAATTATACCACGAATTCGCGCTGTTTTACGTTCTGATTAAAAGCAACGTTACGTTAAAACGAAACGCCGCGGGAAAATCGAGAAATGCGGCATTCGCCGCAGCGCGCGCGCGCGCGCGCCAGCGCTTTTAAATCCCTCCATATTTGTACAGTGGGGAATGTATCGTCGCGGTGGACCCCGATGTGCGCGGAAGTTTCCAATATGAATGTATTAATTATACATTCGCGATGTGGAGTGTCGATCCTCGCCGCGCAAACACGTATTCGTTAAATTTAGAATATGATCATCACATCAAAAACGAGGAAGCAGGTTTCAGCAAATTAGCGCGTTAGTAATCTAATCTGTGACGCAACAAATTAACTGTTTTGAAAATCAGAGGATCCCTGTCCAAGCATATCATTTTATAATTAATTATATTTTGCAAGGAAAATACACGAAGTGGTTTGTATTCGCATCACGGAAAGAACGATTTTGTTGAAAGGTCTAAAAATTTTGCTAAAAACAGATCTGAAAATAATTTTTTCTTAAATCATTAAAATAATTTGTTGGAATGTTAAAACTGATAAGCATTGTTATAAAACGTTTTGATATTCTAGCAATCATTTTGACTTTTGCACAAAATTATTTTGATTATTGAACAAAAATTATTTTCAGATCTGGATTCAGCAAAAGTGTTCTTTCCGTGCATTACTTAATATTTCATCGGCGATTGCGCATTGATCTCAATTTATCATCTAAAGCACCTGTCACCCGGTCTTTATTGCCGAATCCTAATCCGCGCGGACTCGTGCTCTACTTCGTCAAAAATCGAGAATTGCGTCGCACGCATTTTGGAAAGTGGCTGGCAGAAAGCTACCGCGAAAGTTTCGCCGTCTCTTATGTAAGTCCCGTCCGAAAACGCGCGCCTCTTGTTGCACCTCGCCGTAACTATCTGACGACTTTCCTTTTCACGGGTTATCCAATCCGTATATACTTTCTCCGCGACATGGCGGTACCTACACAGCATTTCGCATCTGCCATACGGCCTTCCCGGAACTCCGGCTTCTAAGCGAGCCTTTCTTCGCGATTGGCAAACGAGCTGATAGAAAGCACTGAGTTACTATTCCAACGGTAATTAATTTATCGCTCGTGGCTAAAAGAACACTCGTTTCACGCTCGATGCAGGCTGATGCAAATAAATTAATTTAATTTTCGAGACGATTTTTCATTTTCGAGTAAATTTATTGCATTATTCATAAAATATAAATCCTATATTTTTTTCTGCATTGCAGACTTTTTAAGCAAATAAATTAATATGCACATTTCTATTGACAATTTTCTCCCACAAGCTCAGTATGGCTCTATTTAATATCTCCTTAACTTTGCTTATGTTAATAACTAGAAATTGGAACCTCTTAGGCATATATTATTATCTCTTTTCTCCGATGTTTGTTCCACAGAACGATAAATTCGAATAATAAACGTATAAAGTAATATGGCGATAAATAACGTAAAAATTAAAGGAGCGTTTATACAATATATCGTAAATCCGTGGATTTCAAGTAGATTATCCCTAAAGCGACGAGCCCAAATAAAAGTCTCATATTTATTACGGCCATTCTCTTCCGTCCGCGTGTTAAACGAAAACGACGTCGACGAACAGTAAAATGAATCGACGCAGAAAAGCGAGTTCCATTAGAAAGTATAATGAATCAAAACGACGGCATTGTCCCGACGTATAGTGCGCGTTTTTTGTTGAAATGCACAATATTTTTTTACACCGCATTGCTACACTCATTAAAAGTTACACGTGTAATTGCGTTAAGATAAAAATTCCAGCAGTCTTTATATTAAATGCGGGTGGCAGAAGTGTTTGTAAAATACTGGACCACACGCGGGAGAGGGAGACAATTGTGGAAAAATATTAGCTCTTGTATTAAAACTTCCGGAAAAGTTTTCAAATATAACTTTTAAGTATAATTAAAAGTCGCAGATAGAGCGAATGCAGCGCGTCGTTATCTTTCGCGCGCGTCTTCATTGTCCTCTCGGCGCGAAAGTGGGGTATCTCCCCGAGTGCGAGAGAGAATCTAGCCCTAGGAAGAGGATCCTTGCGCCGTGCGGTTAATGTCCCGGAAGGATCCGAGCTTTATATTTACTTTTATGCCTGCGTAAACGCCGGTCCATTCTGACGCATCTCCCAGGGCCCGATTTTTATCGGCGCGGATCGGCTCCGGGTTAAACCGATCAAGATGGAGAGGCTAAAAAGCCGTTTTGCGTTTATTCGTTATATCCTTGGCGCCCCTTCCGAAGCCGGGATGCGGAATCGTAAAAGGGGGAAGGAGCCTTCCTCCTTCTCTCTCTCTCTCTCTCTCTCTCTCTCTCTTTCTCTTTCTTTCCCGACGGAGGAAGACGTCTTCAGCGGGAACCATGCGTGACGAAACTGCTCTGCGCTTTTGCTCTTCCGACAGGTCGAATGATCTCTCTCGAGGAAATTCAGCGCCGGCATTCGTGCGCTTTCGACGGGATCTGGGCGATTTTTAAGGCGGAAAAACGTCGGCGATCGACGGCGATTTTGGTTCTCACGGAAATACGAATGGAATGGATTCGCAAAGCGACGCGTGTGAAAATCTTCGGGGGAAAAAAATCCGGAAGAAAGCGATCTGCGCGCCTTGCCGCCTGTATTCCACGGGCAATAGTTTACTTCAATAACTTTCTACAAACGATTCTAAATTATTCTTTCAACTGAAGGAAGAACGAGAGAAATCGATGTATATTACGGACTTGTTTAATGTGGAATATTGTCGTGGGAGATATCGAATTTAAGACGTTTTAGAAGAGAGACGAAATTTTGTTTGATCTCCCTCGACTCTCATGGCCGGAAATGCAAATAACCGGGCAAGGCAATATTGAAGGAGAGAAAGGATCCGCGAGATAATACATTCTGGTTTTTGCCTGGGTGTAACCGGACTTTGCATTGGCACATGTACGTTTACAGACACGGCTTGGTGTCGATATCGAAAGTAAAAGGCCTTGTGCTGGTTCTTATACATCATGCCGGTAAACCAGTTTAACTTGGTCAACTGTTTCGACATTCGATTCTGTTTTGTAGCACCTTGTCAGACTTGGAGGATATTTTTACGAATGCGACAGTTGTAACGTATTTTATTTATACGTATTTATAAATAAGACCTACAAAAACGTAAAAACATGTCTTAAGTGTGTCATTACGAATCTCAAACTCGTTAATTAGCGTGCAAAAAATGTCGATTTTACGGCAGACGAACCGGTTATCGTATAACCAATACGGAATCAACGAGCTTGTCTCGTCACGAAAAATTTCCTAATCTAATAAAAGCAATATTATTACTTTCAGGGATACAAGTCTGAGCACGATGGCGGAAGTGCCGTCGAGATACCACTTCGCCGCTCACATGGGCCAATTGATTTCCGGTATAGAAGGTCAAGGCTGTCATAATTTTTACCCAACGTGTCCGTTGCCGGGTATCAGCGTTCTGAACATGATGAAGAAGGTCCGTCTACGCTGACGTGCCGTGATCACCGCAACTGTCGATATCGACGATTGCTGAACCTGTGATACTGCGGACATTCTCTTTTTGCTCGTGCTCTCGGGAGATTACTGACATCATAGAATTGAATTCGCGCAGTGATGACTCGCGTCATTGAAGATGTAAATAATGCGCAAGCCTTCATTTAAATGACATAATAATGTCTATAAGCCTTCTTTAAGTGACATAATAATGTCAATTACTGAGGAAAAAAAATGACAATGTTCTGCGACGTTTGACCTCTTGTTTAGATAGTAATAAAAGTTCTAGTTAGCAAACTGAAATCGTAGATTGTTGAGATTATAGAAAGTATCTGAATTAATACTGTTGACGTCCGCTTTTATTCCGATTAATTCCAGAAAATTATTCTGTCAGACTTTATAACCAATTGATGTAATAATTTACCTTTCTTGAATTTAAACAATGACACAAGTATGCATATATTCATGTACTCAATGTTGCTATTTATTTATTTGTGAATAAGTATTCATGTTCCGCTTATATATACTTTCACTCACTTTTGATACGCCTGATGACTCCGTAGAATTTACTTTTAGATTTTATATTTCCGGAAATCCTTACGTAAGGCATGCGTACAATCGCTTATTTTTATAACGTTGTATTGTTACACTGTATATATTATGTTTTAATAAGCAATAACGAAAAGAAAATAATAAATTGCAACTTAGACACATTAAATATTCTCTTTTTTATTATAAAATATTCCCATGCTTTACATAATTTAATTTCAACTTTTATTTATATTTCAGAAATTTTATTTTATTATATAATTCTTTAATTTCATAACTTTGTGCACTATTATACTGCAAATATTACTGTGTTTCAGTAAGAAATAGCAAAAAAATTTGCAACTGACAAACATACAATGGCGAACATTCTCTCTTTTGCTGCGAAATATTCTCCCGGTCATTGCCGTAAGTTCATTGTATGCATACGATCCCGAAGTCGTGCATTTCCGTAGGAAGTCCCATGGTGACGCTTTGCCAAATTATCGGAATTCCCCATCTCCGCTCTATACCCTATTCTTTTTCCTACTTTAATGCAAGAGCGCCGCGCCGTACTCCCCGGAATATAATCCGGAACCCAGCGGGGAAACGCGCGAAAATTATTAGAATAATCGCCGGCGTCTTTATCGACTTAAGCCCGATGCCAAACTCGTCCCCGAGTGGACATTTCCCAACGAACCGTGCGATCGTAAACGAGATCGTGCCAAGAGTCTCGGTTAGCAGTTAGGACTGGCGCGATACGCGAGGACAAACGGGATGTAATACCGATGAAACCGCGCCACTAACCGTCCCCCGGCCGCCCACCCGAAACAGCCAGCGACACATTCGGAATCCTCGCAAAAATTATCGCGCGATATCGCCGTTGGAGTTTATCGACGTTTCTCGCGCTGCGCCGTACCAGTGCCAAGCCACGCGCGATTTCCGACTGCTATTTCCAGCTCCTCTTTACGTTACGCATAATACAGCCGTAGCTGAGATCGGAAACAGCTCTATCGACTTTTCTAAAAACGACGGATGTCACTAATAAATAACTAATAATTAATTATTAGTTTGCTCTACAAGACATCGATATACACACACTGTTAAATCTATTGTGTCAAATTGAATCTTATTTAAGTTGCTACTGCTCCTACTTAATAAATAGTTATTTTTAAAACAATATAGTTACTTTTAAATAAAACAATAGAATTTAACCCAAATTTGGGTTAAATTTGAACTGTTTTAAATTATTTAACTCCATGTTTTTAGTAAAAAATAACTTTATTAAGTAGAAGCAGTGGCGACTTAAATAAGGGGACGAAATAATTTACTTTAACAGTGCACCTAGGTAGACTGTTGTATAATCGCTGAAAAGTTCCCCGAATAATACATTTTCCCTGCACCATTTATTGCATTTCGATTGAGTTCTGTCACGTAACGCAGCATTGTACACTGCATACGCAATTGATTCTACGAAATCTTGGCACTCGAAAGTAGGACAATAGAGCCGGAAAAGGAATGCAAAACATTAATCATTAAGCAATAAGTTAAATAATGTATAATCCATTATCCTTCGGGGCGTGATTAAAATGTTCGTAACAAAAGTATATTTCATCACATTTCGTGCGTGCTGTGTGATATTCCCTAAACTATTCAAATAATTTATATCACATAATTCACAAGAGAGAAAGACTTTCCACACACTTCTTTCGAGAATGCTATAGAAGTCTTTCTCAATTGAAATACTGCGAAGTTTCGAAAAACGCATAATGTATTTACATTGCACAATGTGTCGACATCTTACTAAGATATTTCGTTTAACGACAAATTAACATTAGAAGTACAAGAAAAAAGCTCTTTTGAAATTTAGCTGAAATTTGCGATATCGAATATACCGATTTGCCAAAAAAATATTTGCAAGTCGAATCGTCGCGCATCAATTTCATTAGAGAGCACATGTGCGACGTTCGCATCGGCACGTCGACCTTGCCGAGGAAGAACGAAGTTACGTCCGCGGGAGGCTCGTCCTCGATCTGACGTGAGGAAATCTCGAAATGTTTGATGTACCAAATGTTGTAACATGAAACTGTCAGATCCCCAGGCGCCGGCGGCAACGGGAAGGGGCAATCACTTTCTCTTCGTCGCGGCATGAGCAGCGGCCTCGTGGTACTCCGAAGAGCATTCAGCAACAAGTTTTTACCAAAGCAGCAACCAGCCGCCGGTGCGTTGGATGTGCGTTTTTGACCGGTGCACCAAAGGGTACGTTGGCGTTAGCTCAAGTGCGCGTTTCAGGTGACGCGTGCGGTGATCGCATGATCGAACGTGATAACGTATCGGCACGATAGATGTGCAGCGACATTCGTACATTTGTCATGAATTGCATAACGATGGTGTTTTGAAATTGCAGCGACAATCGATCGATTCGCGAAGGCGCGATTGGATGATTTGAACTATGCGAAGTGCGTGACTAAGGTTTCGCAGATACGTAGAAAAACGCAGAGTTTTGTTGAGAAAAAAAGTGAAGCTTCGAATCAATTTGAGTAGTTTCATAACGCAAAGTGTAATTCATGGTGCTTTTTCATAAATTATTATTATTATCATTATTATTATTATTATTATTATAGCTTGTAATTTTGCGATCGTAAAAAATAAATTTAAAACATTTAAAAAGACAAGTTATAAATTATATTGTAAGGCTTTTGATTACAGATAGAAAGATTGTTTCTCTATATATGTACCGTAATGTAAATTAGTTTTCTTTCGTGTAAAATAGAGAAAGCTGCACGACGGAAGGAAGAGGTGCTCACGCACAATAGCGGAAGCTAATCTCAACGACCGTATTTGTCAAGTCGACTCAGTTTTCACAACGCTTCTACGACAATTAACGAATGCTTTAGATCCGCTACAATAATGCACCTGCCGCGGACATTCTTGCTCTTTGGTTGCTGCTTTCTGGCATTTGCACTTGTGACCGGTCAAGAACCACTCTTCGAACTTCCGGTGCAGTTGATCGGATTTCCGATAATTATAGCAAGCGTAAGAATCGCCACCTTTCTCAAGAAGCTCGCTTACGCTTTGAGTCCAGGTAATACATACAGAAAAAGTATATTTTATAATAGTGCATTTCTTATTCATAATTACACACACACACACACACACACACACATATATATATATATTACATAACAGATGCCTTTTGAATTATAATAAGCATCACGAGCGTGAATAGATCGAAGCGGTGAGAGAGACAATATTATAGGGAATATTCCATTCAAATATTATCAGAAAATTCCATTCGGTAATACTCGTATATTTCATCGAGCATGAAAGCTAGAATTACATGTCATAGGTTATTGATTTATTTCCGCGATTAGCTCACAAGATATGCAAGTCAAATCGACGAGCAGCGAAAGCGAAAGTGTTCCACTTGTTGTAACTTCTCTCTCCGATCATGAAGCCATGTAATGACTCGGTAATTGACTGAGGTTGCTTACCGTTAAGACGATACGCACGCTTAGAGACCGGAACAAAACAAGGCCGTTACGGCAAATTCCAAGACGCTTTATAACCGCCAGACGAATTAATTGAAGCAACAAATTAAGATTCATAAGATTATATGCTACTTTGTTATACGCATGAAGGGGGAAAGTTTTTCAAAAATTTCTAACATTATAGATGAGTAGTTATTAAATCTCAATAAACTAAAAATTAAGTATTTAAATTACTTTGTAAACCTCTCAAAGGTATAATTCCCTTTGAATTCTTAGATACTTACGTCAGTCGAGTGAAACGAGCGGAACCTTTGATACACGACGAAGAGATTTTAGACGTTGGCCAAGTCGAAAAGAAGCTAGTAGCTGAGCTCGGAAATAACGTTTGCATCTACGAGAGAATTTGTGTCAAGTATGCGGAACGAACCCTTCAAAGGAGAAGTTGGGAACGTATTCTTAATTGGAACGAGATATTCAGGTACGATATATAAATAATTACAATATTGTGATCGCGAGTTTATCTGATAATTTTTATAAAAACGTATAGATATACTATAGGTAATAATTGGATATTCATATTTGATAAGTATTAAAGAAAAAACTGTAAACTGTGAAAATACTCGAGGAAAAAGTTGCTCTTTCGCAATTGCATTGCACAATCGTAACTTCGAAGTTCACGGCTCGAAGAATAATTGTCTTGAAAACAGGTTTCATGGGCGAATGTTTCACGATGATTAGGAAATACCTGCAATCAATAGCGGTTTTTCTCTTGACTTTTCATTAGAGTAGCGAAATACCACTGCTCCAGTTGTGCGGTGATATGTAACATTTTGTAAAGTACCTTGTTCACTTGTGCAATACTATTATTAGCGACGAATATTACGAGATGAAGGCAATAAATGACAGCTTTCTATTATTAAAAGAAACATTTTTTTTAATATATGAAATCTTGAATATTTCATGAAAAGAATAAATTATTTAACGCAACGTTAAACATCTTACAATTAATTTAAATAATTTAAATATTTAAATTTAAATATTTTCAATAATAAATAATTAAAATTTAAAGTAAAGTTTTAAAACCGTTAACACATTAAAATGCGAATTTTTAAGTTATTTTACGTTATTTTAGAGAAAGCTCGTTAAAGCTTTAGAAATTTTATTAAAGCAAATGCATTCCGTAACAGCTTTATCGTATCTCAAATTGTCAGAAGAGGAATTCTTTCTAATTAGAAAAAATTAAATCCCCATCTATGGGGATGCATGACACATGGTGCACCTATATAATCGGTCAATAAGCGGTTGAAACGCGTTGTAACGTGCTATGAGATTGTAATGGCGACAATAATGTCAAGATATGATCTACAAATTCTTAAAAGGAAGTGCATCCAGAGAGATGTTCTCCGTTAATGGCGACGGAAGATTTTTCTCTCCCTTCTGCCCTCGCATTCCTCACGCAATCATTGGAGGATGTAATAGAAATCCCTGCTACCGTCTACGCCCGCGCCGCTCCGCGCGCGATCGTTCCCCGCCTTCGCGGGGACTTACACTAAATTCAGTTGTAAGTAACGCCAGGAGCAGATAGTCTTTAATGGTGCCTGCAACGGGGCGCTCTAATGCATCCTGATAACTGCATCTTCATCTTCGTCGCGTCACCGCGCCCTTCGCCGTCGATCGTTCTCGTGATTCGCTGCTGCGTGTCCGAGCAGGCTCCGTTTTACGGATTGCCCTGCTATCCCGGATCCGTGAGCTCGAGGACCTGTCGGCTTATCTCGGGCCTCCTAATGCCCCGCGGCTCGAGATAGCGAGCACGTGTCGCCGTTGCCTGTCGACACAACGGCGCGTCTGTCCAAATACGCATTTCGTACCTCGGGTCTCTCCTCTCCTCTCCTCTCCTCTCGTCACCTGCAGGCACCTATTCACGTAGGAGGCAGGAATATTCAAGATGCAGGAGACCCCGAGAAGCTGGTAAGGGGCAGAGGGGGGGGGGGGAGATAAATTGGAGATTGGGTACTGGCGGCAACTATCGTCTAGACAGACTTAACCGACCATGTATGAGGGACGAAGCTGACCCGAGACCGTCCCGAACGCCTCCTCCGAGTCCAGTCTTGGGGAAAGCGGTCAGCGATAGAAGAATTGTAGGCGAAGTGGCGTCATTAGAAATTAGGAATCCATTTAGGCGAGATAGCGATGTCGCGTAGCTGATAACAACGACTAACAATAAGCGATAAGACATCGGTTGTCATACAGGCGATGTGGTGCAGTGTAAACTAACACATATACATATATACACTTAAGCGTGGAAATATTATATTTCTTATCATATTTCTATTTTTTCTTCACCCTTCTCTTTCCTCTTTCCTTCTCTCTTCCAATACGCATTTGCATAATGCAATAAGGTAATGTTACCAATAATTTGCGTTATCATGATCTTCCAGGGAGTACAAGTCATCGTCCAACCCGATGAAAGAGAATTACTTGCTGAGCGTCTTTATGGGCGACATTATTGGCAGTCCGAAGCTATGTCACTTATTGGCGAAGAGAGGCAGAGCCTGCGATAATGCCACTTTGTCAGATTAGTTAAAAGCGTGATGCAAAGTACTTGAATCTTTTTGTTAAGTCATAAATCTTGATGCCATAAATATAACTGCTCATATTTACAAAATAAATAATAATGATCTATTATTTTCGTGTAAAATATCGATTCATAGATTGGTATCACAATCTCTTACGTTGATTATGTAAAAGATACATTTTCCTTTTTATTATCAAATTATTATTTCTGATTTAAAAATTATTATTATCGTTTTCAACAAGAAAATTGTAAATACATAAAACGTCATGAGAAACATGTGATTATGTAATATAGCAAATGTATAATCATTTTAATATTTTATTTATAAAATTATATAGATTCAAATATGTCTTTCGCTTCACTTCGCATGATTTTGTATTTCATCCTTTAGCGTTTCTTCAATTCGCTACATGTCCATGACATAAATAGTCATCAATGTATATCGTTATGTGATGCGTCATTGCATGCAATTCGCTGTTATTATGTGAAAATAAATCGTTTGACATTTAAGGAACCGTACATAAATCCACTCATTTTCGAAGAGCTCTTGCGAAAACTGTGCCTTTCGTGTTGGGTTCTTTACCCGTACACATCCATTGATGCGCACATACACATGTACACACACATACATACGGATGCGATACGCACATATGGAGTGAGAGTTGCTTACAGTGACGAGTTTACTACCTACGTCTTTCCGACCGAATGGCTAACCGGAGAATCGGTTGCGAAGAAAGTTTCAGTTGGTGTGCAGAAACCTAGAAAGACGACGCGATCGTTTGCATTAAAAGAAATAGTTAAATGCGAAATTGTGTTATTATATATTTAAAAAATCGAAATAAATAAAAATTATGTGATACAATTACTGAGTATTACTGTAAAGCGCTTCGTAATGTTTGCAATGTGTTAAGAAGACATTAATATAAACGATTTTACGCAATGTAAAGTTAGAGTGAAAGTGTTTTAATTTTAAATATTATATATAGCAGTGTATTAAAAAAATCCGTGAAGTTATTAAACTTTACATTTTGTACCCAGCAAGAGAGAGAGAGAGAGAGAGAGAGAGAGAGATTTGTATTTATTAAAAATAAAGATAGTTTACAGTTTCACTCCGCAAAATGATAAGTAAATTTATCTTCATTTGGTGCTTCTCATATTTACGTTCCGAAGCTCAAGCCGAACATTCATCACAATATTCCCAAGAATCATCTGACAATATTCAATGCATTTTTGATGTTTCTCGGAAGATTTACAATGTAACAGATTTATTACGGTAAGTAATAACACAATATTTTTTACCGGCAGAAAAAATAAGAACAGTAATATTTCAATGCAAATATTTATTTTATAAAAAATAAAAAAAAAATTATATAATTATTATTTATGTTCAATTAATCATACAGATGCATGGATGAACTCGCTACTGATACTCTTTTCGATCAAAACAATGACCGATCGTTAATCGTAGGACGAACAAGCCCATTGGATTCGTCAGTTTATGAAGAAAATTCTTACGGATTTCCTTATGGAAATATAATCTTAAATCTATTTAATAATGCCCAAGTTCCATCGGTAGGTTTAGCTTCTATACATATATTTTCAATATATTCCAACAATAAAAAATTAATCTCTATCGTTTATTAATATACTATTAAAATATTTTAGTATATTAATTGTTTTAAATATCTTTTACAGGAATATCACGATTTACCATTAGGTTCTACTACTGGTAATTTTCAATTAAATACCCTGAACAATCCTCTTAATCAATTCGGCGGACTTGGAGCAAATCTTTTCAATGCTCTGTCATCGATCTCTCGCCACGATGATCTGAAGTGCGTGCCCAGAATACTCTGCGAAGTGGCGAGTGGGAAGCCACCGGGAGAATATAAGCGAGCATCAACGGGAGATAACGAGCAATATTTAGGAGAATTTGGAAGAAATGCCTTCACGCAGTGTGTACTTTTTATAATCATAATTTAAAAAAAAAACATTTATATTAACGTATTCCATTAATTGATTATAGCAAAATTATCATGTGCTTTTCATATTGCCAGGTGGCTCGCCGGACTGGCGGAAGCATCTCCCATGCTGAGTTTTGCCCGAGCCGCCGTTTTGGGTTACAGCAGCAATGGAAATCCGGCCATGTGTTACCGCGCGTTCCCGAGATGTCCGCGTAATCCCGACAAACTGGTGCATTATCTGAACAATCATAACGGCGGATTCTTCCGGCTCTTCAGCGGAGGCGGACGCGAGAGTTATCCTCAATCATCTTACGCTTTGCGAGGTAGAGGATTGCACCGTAAGACTTGTCGCGGGGCGACATTCAAATTCAAGATTTTGCATGAGTTAAATCGCTTTCTTTTCTCGACAGATAATTCGGCATTTCCCCGCGGAGAAAGAAAACGGAAAGCTCCGCCGCCGGGTATCGCCGGGGCGGAGGCCGATCGCACCGGAACGGGCAAGCTGAAGTTCGACATCCCCGTTTTGACTGTTCGCCAAGATTATGGAAAAAGCTTCTTCCCAAGGGAAAATACATTGGGGAACTCGGGTCGAGTGGTTTTCCCGGATCACGAGGAATCGAGTGATCGCCCATTGAAAAACAGGATTTCTAAATCCCTGTCGGACTCCGATGTGAATATATTTCCGCAAGACTCTACGCTGGTTTTTCCCCAGGTATTAATTATGTCTCTTTACAATCAGAAAAATTAACGAAAATAAAATGAGAGACAAAATAAAATTTAATGAAAATAAAATAGTAAACGATACAAGCATACTAATTTTTATATGTTTAAGTCGCATGTGTGAAATATTTTTCAGGAATCGGAGGACCAAAGAGTTTTGCGTTTTCCCGAATCTCCGGACTCGGTATCTCATAGTGCGTTTAGGTTTCCGAGTTAATACTCTCGAATGTTTTCGTTACGAATAAATTTTCAAATAATATTTAGGAATACTAATTGTTACATTTTGTTTATTAAATTAATCGAGATGCTATATGATCCAAAAAAGGATTAATTAAATTAATCTGATTGCTATTGTTTAATAATATTAACGGTATAAATATTAACAAACATGTATTTTTTTAAATTTACATTTTGTATTCTATCGTCCAAATGGCTCGCAATGGGATATGCAGACGGGGGGGTCGAACAAGTCATTCAACCCTTTTTTATGCTGTATTCATCCTTTCAACATTATATAGTTATTCAATCCTTTCATCCATTACATCACGCTATCGACGTGCATAGCCAGCAAAAGACCAGAAATTGTAGACTCAGCTGGAAATGCAATTTTGATTTCGATGGGTTAGCATCGACCATTCTACGTGACAAAGCATATTTTATCCTCGCAAACTCAAAGGATCCTTTATTCGCGCCGCCTCATCCTTTTCTCACAATGATTTTACATTTTTTATACAAAGTACGTTTTACGCGAAATATAATTTTGAAAACTAATAGATTAATTAAGTGTAAAAGATACACGTCGAATTTTTAATAAAAATAATTTGTTAAAATCAATTTTCTCATTATAACAAAAATTATTAGTAGTTTAATTTACGTGAAAATTATAATTAAAACGCGCATCTCGCAGCATTTATACAAAATAATTTTTGTTGCAATAATTATGAGCAAAAGCGCAATACAGATGATTTCCGGAATTATAAATTATTCTCGGGATTCACTCATGAGATGCCAAGTTTTCAGAGAATGTATATATATTTGCCGGAAGATTCCCCGCTTAGGTCTATACTGACATGCGATCTCCCTTGAGCGTAATAATTTTCGATCACTATCGTGAATTTTGCAAAAGCACAAGGCGATAACATCTGAGCAACTCGTGTTTGTAGCTTTCCCGCTGCTGCTTAGCAATTTTAGCCACGTAAGGTCGAAACTTGCTCGACAGGTGATCGTACGGTGGTTTCCACGAGACTCTTCCCATTCATTTAAGGTTTTGCTGTCTGACTCGTGTTTTCTTTTCTCATGTGTTTCATGTGATGATAGTAACACCCTGCGTTTCTCATATGTGCTCGCGTGCGTGAACAGGTACGGGCATTGCTCGACCCGCAAGTCTTGAAATATACATAAGCCAGAAATGTATGTACTTTTCGTCAAATCTGCATTACCGTTTTTTTTTCGACGATAATTATACGAATACTCAGACAGATGATGATACACATGCGAGAATAATGATTTAATTTTCCGAGTTTATGAGAAGTTAAAATCCAAGAAATTAAAATAAAATACTTGGAGAGATTTGACGTGCGTTTTGTTTCAAATTTTAAAAGAATTAAAAAAAAAATTGCATTAAAGAAATTCCCTGCGAAATTCTTCTCTAAGAAAAAAAGTGCTTTCAAAAAATCTCTTGTAAAAAATGCGTTATTAAAATACCTAAAGAGAACACCAAGTTGCAACGCGCGTAGCTTTTTCCGTCTTCGGTGTGAAGCGTTTGTCACACGCGGACTCGCAGCTGCAAAATTCACGTATGACTTTCTCCAAATAGTGGCTCACCGCTCGGTGACGCTGTAGAAATAGTATACGCGCAACGTCGAAAAAGCGGCAGACAACGTGTAATTATTTTATCCTTTCTGGCGTGTAATTTGGGGCGTGCATCACGCTCGTGAACTCGCTGACTCGATGCAGGGGGGAGACGTGGAAATGGTGTGGCCGCGCGGAGTCCACGGCAATGCCGTAGCCCAGAGGGGCGTGTGCCTCGGACAGGGCCAAGTGGGGTGCAACTGACAGCGGAAGACAATTAGCCTTCTGATACATCCAATGTCGCGTGATATGCTCCGCGGTACGTAGGAACTTTACAAAGATTCGTTTCACGCATCGCAAACGCGCGGGGCGAAATACGGGATTTGCAATGGAAACCGTTGATTCGTAATCCGCTGTACAAAATATAATACACGAGGTCACGCAATTAACCAATTGACCCAAGTTTATTCCATTATGTTCGGATTTTAATATTTAAGAAAATTTTCGGTGGAGACATTAACGTACCGGAATTTTCGAGTGACGTCGCAAATTTAGAATTTCGAGCTGGAAAAGATCGTGGATCGTTGAATGACGCCAATGGGACAATGGTAGCAAGCTGTAACAGGTTTACCGTCGGGCGAGGATCTGCGATGACTCTGTCGTCTATGCCATAATCTCGTGCCTATTAGTGCGGCATTATTTTCCGTGGTAGACATCAAAGAGGATTTCCCGCGGGCTCATTGTGCCGCGACGATAATTCCTCGTTATTAGCAGCCGCCGCCGTCGGAGCGTTGGTCTCATGTCGGCTTACCACACCCCAAGTGCCGAAACAAATCCTCCGGAATTGGTGGTGCCGAGGTTGATGCAAAGGAGCTTCTACGACGCATAACGCAATAGCCCCCGACAAAGGATCGGCCGGGGAGACGGCGATTGTGGCGGCTAATCCCCGTGAAAAATGCGTTGCAGGTGGACGAATCCATCGTCGTCGTCGTTGTCGACGCTCAGGTGAAGCCTGCGCTGGGGAAGGACTGAGTTTTTCCGACGCGAAGGGTGGATTAACAAGATATCCTTGGTGATCTCCGAATAGTCGACCCGGGAAGTGAAATTTGCAGGGGTTTTCTGAATTCGCGATGAGCTCGAACGCTGTCATTTTGCCGATGATTGACGTAACGAAGTAAGAAGACGGGGAGAGAAAGAGATAGAAAAACAAAGAAGAAAGATAGAGAGTTAGGAAATATGATATAATATTATATTATATTAGAAAAGAATGTTGAATCTATTAATTAAATTCCAAAGGAGGCAAAATAAAACTTATATTTTAAAAAAACTATGTTTCAAAACTGATCTTCTTCAGAGAAAATATAATTAATTAAATATTATTAAATATTATAGTATATTATATATTGCGTATTATTAACGTAAAGAAAGTTTGCGCAATTTACGCGAGATGTATACGTTGGCCGCACAATCAAAGTCCGTTAAATCAAACCCTACTAAACAGCTTTAATGGTTCGTGATTTAATCAAGCTGCAGTAGCTACACTATACGTCCGAGTTGGCCCGAAAATAAGACATAAATTCTCGAATACACCCACCTATCGCGCGCGACCATAAAACACCGCCGCGATCTTATTTAGCCGTATATTTTTCCCCACGAGCGGCTCACAATGCCCCAATATCTTACCGTCGCAATATACTACGGGGGCTATCCTTTTCTTCTCGATGGACTTTTCAATTCGAAGCATCGGATCTTTGTCACCGGGACCGAGGACGCCAATTCGCCCCGTACAAAAGAACCGCGGTGACCGTAGATCTCGTTGAAAACTGAATCCCCGTCCCCCTTCACCCCCGCCGTCCCTTCCCATCCCATGGACCCGCCAGTCACTTGATGGACAGAATAATTCGGTGAGAATGAAAATTCATGTCCTTCGGCAGTCCTTCCCTACCGCGCACGATTCGCGGACTCGAAAGGGTCCTCGAAAGCCCGTGAAATCCTGACATGCTGGTCAAACCGCCGGATAAGTGGATATCTGCCGGTACAAAAGGAAATATACCCTCCACCTTTCGCTATCACTGTCCACCAGATTTTCCTTATCCCTCGCAGATACGTGCCAATTGTTGGGCGGGACGAACGGCCAAGTGGTAATAAATCGGGTACGCGCGTAATATTACACTCTATTGCTTCTTTGACTTAAAAGAAAAAGAAGTCTTTTCTTGTGAATGAGAAAATGATAGACGTAGTAAAAATTCAAAAGTGATCAAAGTCTCCTTATATTCACTTTTGGGATTTTATTAGTTTGTTATGAGTTCTCTTTAAAATATTTTTATTATTGGCAGTGTTTATCACACATCACACACGTGCAAACAAAGATAACAAAACGTTAATTCTCTTATAGTTGGCGCACAAAGCCACTCACAGTTATACCGCCGTCGATGCGGCTCCTCCCCCGTCTTTAAAAAAACCCACTTTACCCGGCAGATCGGTTTTCAAATCGTTCATAAATAATGAATCCGGCTGCGGGTTGCACCGCGCAACGTCAGTCAGGCACGCTGATTGCAGCATTGAGGACACGTGTCGCGGATCAATCGTCAGACGCGTGTCAGTATTTTCGTATCATCGCCGAAGGGTGCTCGCTACTCATCTCTCTCCCTCACTCTTTCTCTTTCTACTTATACCTTTTATCCTGTCCGATTCCCTTTCCTCCTCCTTCACATTCGACTACTTCCTTCTTCTTTTATGTCGTCGCCCCTGCTGCTTCGAGTTTGCACGCAAAGCTAAAACGAGTGTCGCGGGGAAAGCCAAACGACGTGCAGGATCGGGTTTTTTAAAGCGACCAGACGACGCTTTAATGCGACCGGGATTATGCGGCTGGACCGAAGCTACGGATTTTGCTCGAGATCGTCACGAATAAGGGGCGTGCAAACAGAGATCTAAGAACCGTCCCTCCGCTCGTCACGTCGATCGCTTGTCAGCTGCTGGGATTTACTGCTTTTTAATTAAAAAAGCTTAGACACGGCGTACCTTTGTCGGTCGCGGATGTAAAACCGCGTAAAGTGAGTAAAGTAAAGCGTAGTGTGAAAATTACGTTCATGGTAATTTTTCTAAAATACATA